TCAAGGTTTTCTAATTTCCTATCTACCTAACATCCTGATATTCCTTGTCGCTTATTCAAAATGGGGGATGTTGCAATGGTCATAAGTGTGAAAAATGGTCATAAATCACTCTTTTCAGTGCCGTTGTAACTTCAAAAGGTCACTAAATGAAATTTTGTAAATTGAGGACTACCTGTATAAGGGTGATATTCAATAGTAAAATAAGAATGATTGCCAGGCCAAATTCTCAGAGTCCTGCTCTTCATTCTCTTCTCCCCTAATAAGTTTTGAAGATGTGCAGACTCTCTGATGCAGAAGTGGAGGGGATAGGAAAGGAGAGAGCATGGAGAAAGAAAACAGTATTTGTACAGTAATCTACACTGGATCCAGCTCAATTTCTTAACATATTCAATAATGCTTTAAAATATCATGAGAAATTTGGTGTAGGTAATGGCATAATGCCTCTTTTTAAAACAGCACTTTTGTTTGATGTAACATTTGACTCATTTAGAAATCTGCACATGAGGTTACAAACATAACAGTTTTAAGTTCAAAAAGTGCCAGATGTTACTGTTTGAAAAGTACTGTAGTTTTCTTTTAATTGCCCTTTGAAGTGGTCAGTTTGGATATGAAACAATTTTATATCCAGAAGGTATTCTCAAACTTGTAAGATCCATATGTCTTGTTTCAAAATGCAGCACCACAGACAGCCATATCAATAAAATTCAGTTTCTAACCTGACAATATACCACAGCATTCAGAAAGATTATAAAATAAATCAGTACTGAAAGTCTTAAATGTTCTCTAACGATCCTATCATTTGCAGACACAATTTCCAATTTCCCACCCCAGTTAGTTTCTAGAGAACACACACACACGGGGAAAATCCACATCTTTTTATGTCCATGGTATGATTGTAATTCTCATCTTTTGAAGCGGTTATAAATAATCCAGATAGAATAACTTAATATACTAATACATCTTAGAATCCTGTTGAGAACATTCATAGCTTTGTTACTCAAGGCACAATACTTAAAACTGAATTTTCTTGACAACTTTGATCAAAGAAAATCAATGAAAGCTAGTCTGTAATCTCAACAATCTTCCAGAAACATTTTGGGGGGACTCCCTCAGGTGCCACTATATAGCATAAGGATACAATAGATAGAATAGAGCAGTAGGTCAATTCCATCATTTCTAATGCAGATGAATTTTATTAGCTTCTCTCACACTTTGGGAAAACAAAGATAGAAACTACTGCTTCTCTAGAAGGGCTTTCCTATGGAGAACAGGAAACAGCTAAGGACCAAATTATTTCAGAAAGCATTCTCTTAACAAAGATTATGGCACTTGTGCTACTTTTTATTCTTTAGTCTCTATTTTTTTGTTGGTATTTTGTATTTATCAGTGTTTTATGATATCTTATTTCTTCTAACTATACCATGAATCAGGGATGAAATGCTCCTGGTTCGGACCGGATCGCCTGATCTAGTAGCGATGGCAGCGGATGGTTCGGAGAACAGGTAGCAAAATTCCCGGGCCCCCCACCATGCCGAAGTGAGCCGTGCAATCATCAGAGGCTGTTTTTTACTTTTAAAAGCATTTTTTCTACAACCTCTTTGGCCGAAAAATGCTTTTAAAAGTAAAAAAAAAAAGCCTCTGATGATCGTGTGGCTCAGCTGGGATCATCAGAGGCTTTTAAAGCATTTTTTCTACAATCTCTTAAGCAGAAGAGGTTGTAGAAAAAATGCTTTTAAAAGGTTTTTTTTAAAAAAAAAAAAGTTGGCCATGCCCAGCATCACATTACCCCACCTCCACCAAGCCATGCCCACAGAACCGGTAGTAACAAATTTTGCATTTCACCAATGCCATGAATATGGTAAATATTAAATTATAAGTAAATAATGTCTAACTGTTGTTGCATTGCAAAAACTGCAAGTTGTCAAGAAGCATTAGACTGCAGCACATGGATGGATTGATAAGTTCCATGGCTTTTTCCCATAACTATATCTAAAGGCTGATATATGGATTGCTATTTGATTTATCTAAGCAAGTGATGGTATTTAACCAAGTTTGACTGACCTCAGAAAGTTGAGCATGGTCAAACCTGGTTAATATATGGATGGGAAATCACCAGGAATCCCAAGATCACAGGTGTTATTGGGCATTAAAAAAAATAAATAAATACTGGATGAGGCAGTGGTAAACATATTTCAACATTTTGTTAGCATGTAAAGTCCAGGCAGTCATTGGAAATTTATCTTTAGTTCGGAGAGTCTTTACAGATTGTTAAAACAAACTGGTATTTTTTTCTTCTTTTTCTCATCTATTTTTTGGGGGGGATCATGTTCATAAAAACAAGCAGAAAGTGTCTTGGTTTTATCAGTTGCACATATGCTACTCTGGAAGCTTTTTAATTAGACAGTGGTAAAAATGCTTTAAATATACAGAATTTTTAATTGAATTACACAATAGAAATCAAATAGGATTATCCATAAGCCAGTAGTGTGTAGCCAGCTTCCTAATTCAGTTCTGATCTCATGACACTGAGTGTATTGCCCTACCAGGACAGCCAGTATAATTAAGCTTAGTTTCAGAAATCAGGTTCTGGGTCTGATTTCCCCAGCAAGATGCTCTCACTTTTTTCTGTAAAAAGAAAGGCTACAACATTCAAAGCTTTTTAGCTGAGAAGGAGGGAGAAATTGAACATATATAGAAGGAATATACATTTATACATGATGTAGAAAACAGATTTTTCTCCCTCTCAAAATGTTGAAATTCAGACTTATCTATTATTAAAAATAAATGTGGGAAGCCTTGGTACCGATAAAAGTTATTTTTGTTTATATAATACTCTTCTCAGATCTGATGATAAGTTTTAAAAGACAAATGTATGAGGATCAGATCAGATCAGGCTACTAATAATTACCAGATTAGATGGCTATATACTACTTCCCAAAGAATAATATTACCTTAAATGCCAAATGGAACAATAGCAGAAGAGAGCTATCAACTTCTCTTCCAGTTTGGAAACTCTACATTGTGTATCTACCGGTATACCTGAATTTGTGTGGAACTTGATCCAATATGAAAAAGTTTTAATTCTAATCTTATAATAATAGATTAATTGTATTTTTAAATAATCCAATTAGTACTACCAAAGAGCCACAATTTGTTCAGTGTTTATTCCACACAGGAAAGTTCTCCTATTACTTTAGTTTACTTATTTACTTACTTACTTACTTTACAAAATTTAGATGGCTGCCCACTCACTCTCAGTGATTTATAATCTATTGTCTAGATTATGAAGATTATGACTATTACAGCTCTTATAGAAACTCTGCAAATTTTTGCTTGCAGATCTCAAGAGATTCATTTTATATATTCCTGATCTCAAGATATACATAATAAAAGCTAATAAATACTTCAAGGAGCGGCTGAACATTGGGTACTTCTATGATAATATTAAGAATGTTGGATAAGAAATAAAATATATATTTTTATTATACTTTAGAATTGGTCATAAACTTCAATCCTAGAGTGTGTAATCAGGTCTTTGAAATATAAAGATACTGACTATAGAGTAACAAGAAGGAATATGGCATTGTGCAATGCCTGGGGCTTTCCTGAGAACATCTAATTTTTTAAAAATACATAACAGCAGTCATACTAAATTTTCCAAAAGTACACATTACCTGAAATGTATTTAACAAGCTGAATTGAACCACAATAAATGTGGTGATTTATACCTTTTGTAGCTTTACTGTAAAATTATTGATAGTCCATAAAAGGAGAAGTACCGTATTTTTCAGACTATAAGACGCTTCGAAGTATAAGATGCACCTAGCTTTTGGGGAGAAAAGCAAAGGGGAAAAACCCTGCCTCTGCTTCCCAGAAATTTACTTCCTTGCAGCAAACAGCCTGGTCAGCTTCAGCACAGCCTGATTTAGCACAAGCAGCTGATTGGTGGTTGGATCGGTTTCCCGGAATACTGCCTGTCAGCTGTTCCAGGTTGCAGGGATCGCCTCCACCCGTCACTGCCATTGCCACCCATTGGTCCTGTTGCTGCCTATCACCACCTCCGTGCCCCATTTTCGGCCTCCATGCATCCCATTTTCGGCCTCCACATGCCCCATTTTCAGCCTCCACGTGTTCCAAGTGATGGGGATAGGCAGCGGCAGCAATCCCCACTGTCTGGAACGGGCCAAAAACAGGACACACGGAAGCTGAAAACGGGTGTGTGGAGGATGAAAATGGGGCACGCGGAGACAGTGATAGTGGTAGCAATGATGGGCGGTGATGGGGGCGATGGGTGGTGGCAATCCCTGCAGCCTGGAACAGCTGATAGGTGGTATTCCGGGAGGCCGATCCAACTGCCAATCAGCAACTTGTGCTAAATCAGGCTGTGCTGAAGCTGATCAGGCTGTTTGCTGTAAGGAGGTAAATTGCTGGGAAACAGAGGCAGGTTTTTTCCCCCTTGCTTTTCTCCCCAAAAGCTAGATGACCAGGCTGTTTGCTGTTTGCTGCAAGGAGGTAAAATGCTGGGAGGCAAAGGCCAAAGGGTGGTGGCCAGCAGGTGGGTGGGGCTTCAGCAACATTCGTTGTATAAGACGCACAGACATTCCCACCCACTATTTTTTGGGGGGAAGGGCGTCTTATACACCGAAAAATATGGTAGTTTACCAAGTAGCTACATATAGTATATGCTATGATGAATTGCCACTTTTGGTCCTCTATTGGGCTGCAAAGAATATATCTAATGCATGGAAGGAGAACTATACAACACTTGAGGCCTACTTCCAATACTTGTGCTGTTCCTAGCTTTTACCCATGCCAGCGAGCATAGTGTGGAATGTGTCAACAGCAGGATCTCAGACTTTTGAATTCTTTGAACCAATGGGAAATGTATATGTTTCTTTCTAGCATGGGGACTAATTAATCCTTTTTGGTGATTTTGTTTCCATTCATCAACAAATTCTTTCTTTTAGCTACTCTGCTTACTTTTGAGATTTCTGTTTCAGGTTTATGAGATGTTTCCAGGTGATTCCACTGGGTGAGAATGAAACTGTAGAATCTATGAGTCTTCAGGTATTTGATAGTTACTTATTATAAAAATACTAAAAGTAATATTTTTTATAAAAGTATAAAAATTATTATAAAAGTAAAATCTCCAACTTGAGGTTGATTCCTTGTAACTTTATCCATGTAGTTTTGTTAACAACATAAAGTGATTTGCTAATACTCGTTTTTAATGTGTGTGTGTTTTTTAACTCCGTAGTCCTGGCATTTCCTGCATGACCCCATCTTATTGATCAACCAGGTCTAATACTTAGTTTTTTTGCTTCTTTGTCTATCATTTAGGAGCTGATATACCTAAAGGGACACACAGATACTTTCCTTACTTTTATTTCCAATTATATTATTCCCATATAGAGGGAAAAATGATTGTAAAAGCATTAACTGCTAGTGGGGGTGTGAACTGATTTCTGTGATTAAGATCTATTAAGCACAGATAAGAATGACACTATAAATACCTCATAAATCCAACCTTTTAATCTGTGATATCTTTCCAGACTTTTAATTCTGAAATCGTCACCATTTTGTAACTGATTTGAACTGACTGTGTTCCCTTGCTTTCCACTGTTTTCCATATCTGTGCAGTACTAATCTGCAATTGAATCAGCTCCAGTCTTTGTGTAATCAGTTCTTCTATTTTTTTTAATTCAAAGTTTTTATTTACTATAAGCAGTTTGATACGATTAACCTAATCAAAATCTATTCTGTAATCATTGAAGCATATAGTGACTTCTTTTTGGCATTCTTTGGCTTTCTCAATTATCCAGCATGCATCAGCAAAAATGTCTCATGCTTCCTGGCCTTTTCTATAACCATATTTGGCATTTATTTTTTCCACGTGGATCTCTTATCTGTGTTGGATGATCCTAAGCATTGTTTTTCTGTCATATGAAATTAAGGATATTATGTAATAGTTTGCATATTCTGTCAAGTCTCTTTTTGGTATTTTCTAGATTACTTTAGGTATAGCCTTTGTTGATTCTTTTGCTGCTGCTTTCTCTAATTCTATGGTTATTTTATCAGTTTCTGTAGCCTTCTGACATGGTAATGACCACTATACTATTCTAATCTAACATCAGTAGTAAAGATTCGTGTGAATGGGAAATATCTTCTAAGGTATCTTGGAAGTTCATATCTTCATCATACAGCATACAGCATCCTTTCATCTTCATTTGATTTCCTTTAAATTGTTTATTATCTATCAATTGGCATCCTTTAATATACAATTCGAGGCTGAAATCTTCTTCTGAGATCAGGGATAGTTTGAAATATTTTTTTTTCAATGTCTGTTTTCATCTTCTATATCTTTATAAATATCATTTTAATATTTCTCTTTATTTCTTCCAACAGCTCTCTGAAACTCTTTTTAAGTTCCTTCCTTAACAAAGTTACAGTTCTATGGTCTTTGATTTGGTGTCTTATGATTTTCTCATGTACTCTACCTTCAGTCTAGCTAAAAAAAATCTCAGTTGAGTTGAACAGACCAGAAGCCCTTACCATGTGGCTTCAATCTTATTAGTTTATGTTGCATTCAAAAGCAAGTTATAACTGAACCAGAAATTTAATCTTGAAAAATACACTTGGGGAATTCTCCTTTGATTCTGAATGTTTATTATGGCTTTCTCCAAGTTTTTGTTCTCCATATGTGTTAAGACAAAAGGTTCCCAGTCACATTGAGTGACTGTTAGGTTTGCTTTCAGTATTATTTGATCTTAAATTGTGCGTGTTGTTAAGGATATTCTTAAATTTGGTTTGTAACTGTGTAACAATATCTATGGCTTCCTTGTCAGTTTTAGTTATTATGGCTATATCATCTGTAAACAATAACAAAAATGATACTAACCCATTATTATTTTCTCTTTTAAAGAGACACTTATCCGCTACACCTTCATGAAAACCGATCTTATTTAGCTCTTTAACTATACATTGGATCCACTCAAACCCTGATTGTCTCAAACCATAAAGGCTTTTATTTAACTTCCAGCAATCAGTGTGGTTTTGTGTTTCAACTCCTAAAGGCTTCCTCATATAGATGGTGTGTCTCAATGGAGCATGCAAGTATGCTGTCTCTACATCTATATGGTTAATACTATATTTATTCTTAGCCACCCACACTAGCATTGTTCTTAAAGTACTAGCACATAAACTAGGAGGAAAAACCTCATTGAAATCTTTTTCGGTCTGAGAGAAACCTTGAGCTACAAGGTGAGCTTTATGGGTTACTGTCCCATATATGCTTTTCTTAATTTTGTAAACCCATCTACAACTTATTCATTTTTCACCAGGTGGCAATTTCACAGTTTCGTAAACACCTAACTGAGTTAAAGAATTAATTTCATTACTCATTGCCTCCTTCCAAGCATTCTGCTCCTTTTCAGGATAAAGCTTGATATCCTCATAACTTGAAGATTCTATGTTAACCTGGCAAACTATGGTTGCTTTATATCGATCAGGTGGATGCCTTTCCCTAGTAGATCTCCTAGGTAATACAAGACTTACTGCAGATGGTTCATCTGACTCCTCCTCTAAAACTACCTCCTCTAAATCTACTTCCTGTTCTTCATCCTTGATAGAGGATTCTACATTAACTAAATCCTCAGGAATATCATCAGGAATATGATGCTCTATACTAACGGTATTATTATCATGTCTATAATCTGCATGTTCTAGTTTATCCCATCCTTCGTGCTCTAGAAATTTAACACTTGCACTACAGTAAACACTAGTAGTTCCCTGTGCCCAAAATCCAAAAGACCTGTGATTTGATTCATAGCCAACGAAAAACATTTTTCTGGCTCTCTGTTGATCCTTTCTCCTTAAACTAGATGGAATGTGTACCCAAGCTGGGGCTCCAAATGTGTGTAACTAAGATTTGGTTTCCTCCCATGCCATAAGGTGAATGGTATTTCACCTGTACCGGAATTAACCACGTTGTTTAACACATGGTTAGCACACATAACAGCCTCACCCCATAAATTTTCAGGCAAACCAGAATCTTCCAACATAGTTCTAGTCATGGCTTGTAATGTTTGACCTCTTCTCTCGATATACGAATTGTGTTGTGATCTGTACAGAGCAGACCGTTTATGCTGGATCCCTGCATCCTGCAAAAACTTTTCCAACCTTTGGTTGGTAAATTCTGTACCATTATCAGTCACTAAGCATTTAACCTTAAATTTCTGTTTCCTTTCCACAAAGCGCAGCCAGTTGTTAATATGCTGGAATGTTTCACTTTTTGTTTTCATAAGATAACAGAATCCGTATCTTGAATACTGGTCTACTATGCTTAGAATATAGCAGGCACCTCCTATGCTGGGTTTTTTGGGTCCAATTAGGTCTACAAACACTACCTCTAATGGCTTTTTGGTTTTAAAACCATTAACATGGCTTGCGGGTGTTACCCTACTTTTTTGCTGACTACAGGCATTGCAATTCAGATATTTACTACATGCTTGTAGTTTTATCCCTTCAGATAACTGAACTGTTTTCTTTAACGTCCTGAAATTTAAATGCCCAAGTCTCCGGTGTAACAGATGAATACATTCATCATGTGGTTTAACATTCTTATAAACAGACTTAGACTTAGCCACTAATATTGGGTTATCCCTTAAAATAAATAAATCATTTTCTAAACTTGCAGTTTAGTTTAGTTTAGTTTTAGTTTATTTTGATTTGTATACCGCCCTACTCCCGAAGGACTCAGGGCGGTGAACAGCCAAACAATAAAATACATAAATACAAAAAATTTAAAAAACCAGATAAAATCAAATTAAATCATTTTGGCCCGGACAGATTAAAACACCCCAATAATTTAAAAACAGATTAAAATTTACATATTAAAAGAGGGAGGAGATTAGGCCAAGCCCGCTTGATGGAATAAAAAGGTCTTCACAGCGCGGCGGAAGATGCGCAGATCCGGGATCCTCCGTATCTCTAGGGGGAGCTCATTCCAGACGGTAGGTGCTCCCACAGAGAAGGCTCTTCCCCTAGGGGCCGCCAGCTGACACTGTTTGGCTGACGGCACCCGGAGGAGTCCCTCTCTATGAGAGCGTACTGGCCGGTGGGAGGCTATTGGTGGTAGTAGGCGGTCCCGTAGATAACCAGGTCCTAAGCCATGGAGCGCTTTAAAGGTGATAACCAAAACCTTGAAGCACACCCAGAAGACCACCGGGAGCCAGTGGGCTCGCGCAGGAGAGGTGTCACATGGCAGCGCCATGACACTCCCATTACCACCTGCGTGGCCGCACTCTGCGCCAGTTGGAGCCTCCGGGTGCTCCTCAAGGGGAGCCCCATGTAGAGAGCATTACAATAGTCCAGGCGGGAGGTGACGAGGGCATGAGTGACTGTGCGTAACAAGTCCCGATCCAGAAAGGGACGCAACTGGCGAATCAGGTGAACCTGATAAAAAATCCTCCCGGTCACGGCCGTCAAGTGCTCTTCTAAAGACAGCCATGAATCCAGGAGGACACCCAAATTGCGAGCCCTCTCCGTGGGGGCCAATGATTCGCCCCCAATAGTCAGTGATGGCATCAACTGACTATATCGGGACATCGGAAACCACAGCCACTCGGTCTTGGATGGGTTGAGCCTGAGCCTGTTCCTCCCCATCCAGATCTGTACGGCTTCCAGGCACCGGGACATCACTTCAAGGGCATCGTTGGGGTGATCTGGGGTGGAGATGTACAGCTGGGTGTCGTCAGCGTACTGATGGTACTCCACTCCGAAACCACGGATGATCTCGCCCAGCGGCTTCACATAAATGTTGAACAGGAGAGGCGAGAGGACCCACATATGAGCGGCCTCGGGGTCGACCTCTGTCCCCCTGTCAACACAGACTGCGACTGGTCAGAGAGAAAGGAGGAGAACCACCGCAACACAGTGCCTCCCACCCCTAACACTTCCAACCGGTGCAGCATGATACCATGGTCAATGGTATCAAAAACCGCTGAGAGATCTAACAGGACCAGGACAGAGGAGCACCCCCTGTCCCGAGCCCTCCAGAGATCATCAACCAACGCGACCAATGCCGTTTCCGTGCTGTACCCAGGCCTGAAGCCCGACTGGAACGGATCCAGATGTCATTTCATCCAGGTGCTGGGGGAGCTGTTGCGCGACCACACTCTCAACAACCTTCGCCACAAAACGAAGGTTGGAGACCGGACCATAATTTACCAACATTGCCAGGTCCAGGGAAGGCTTCTTGAGGAGAGGCCTCACCACCGCCTCTTTCAAGGTGGCAGGAAAGACACCCTCACCCAACGAAGCATTTATAATACCCTGGAACCAGCCTTGTGTCACCTTCCGAGAAGCCAGCACTAACCAGGAGGGACACGGGTCCAATAAACAAGTGGTCGCGTTCAGTCTACCCAGAATCCTGTCCACGTCCTCAGGGGTCACAGGATCAAACTCATCCCAGATAACATTCTCAAGACCTGCCCCAGTCCTTCCCCCTGAGACTACCCAGTCGGAGTCCAGATCTTCCCGAATCTGAGTGATTTTGTCATACAGATATTGAACAAAATCCTCGGCTCTACCATCCAAGGGGTCCTCCCGCGCTTCCTGGTAGTAACAACCTTGCCATCTTTCTCAATAAAACACTTATCATTTTTAAATGTTACTGTAAACCCAAATTGCAATAATGATTTAACAGATAATAAATTGAATTTTAACCCAGGAATATATAACATAGGCAATGGTTCATTACTAAATGACCAACGAGCAACACCCTCTCCAGCTACCTTAACCTTCTAGCCATTTGCTAGTTTAACATGTTGGTTACTCTTCTCCATTTTAACAAAAAAATTTCTATTTCTAGAAATAGATTGAGAAGCACCATTGTCAACAACCCAACAATCCTGGTTAACATCAGTAGTTGAACTGGATATAGCTAAATTACAACCCTTCTTGGGTCTAGTATTGTCCCTAACATACATTTTCTTATTCTTACAATACTTAGCTATATGCCCTTTAGCCCCACAAGCAAAACAACGTTTTACAAAATAAGCAGTTGAATACATTTTTTCTTCTTTTGGTTGTTGCACTCTCAACTGATCCCTTTCTTGTCTTCTTTTGGATTCTTCCAATAACCTACCGATTATGCCAGCCAATGTCAGTTCATCTCTGGACAAAACCTCTAACAAAGAAACATAGTCGTCATAACTATCGTCCAAAGAAGAAAGAATTATATAAACTTGTTGTAGTTCTGAGAAAACAAGTTTCTTTTCATGCAGCTCCTGGAAAATTCTGGTCATGCATTCCAAATGAGCCATCATATCTCCACCTTTAAGAAGATGTTGATTAAATAATCTCCGTGTGAGATAAATATGAGCACCCACAGAGTCACGAACATATAGTCTCTTCAACTTGGTCCAACACCTAGCAGCAGACTCTTCGCCACAAATATGGACAAGCTGCTGGTCACCCAGTGTTAGTCCAATAATGCAAAGAGCTCGTTCATTGTCTCTGTTAAACTTGGCTAATTTCTTCGAATCTTCCTCATCAGCAAGATCCCATGCTGTTACATCCGGTGGATTATTAACTATGTCCCACAGTCCTTCTCTACACAAAAGTAGATTACATTTTGTAGACCAGGATACATAGTTTGTTCCATCCAGCTGGGTTATCGGAAATATATAAATCCAATATATTATTGGAAAATTTTCTGCTTGTTCTAGTGCCATCTTCACTTGGATTGTATATCACAAACACAGTTTGTACTATTCACATTAACTCTCAGTTTAGCTCTTAACAATCCTAGTTAGTTCTGGTTGGCTCTGGGCCCATAACCAATGTTAAGGATATTGCTGTTGTGTTACCAACCAGCAGAGTGTAGAGCACAGAGAAACATTGCTGAGAGCAATGAATAAGAGATGTGCAAACTGGTTTATCAAAAGTTTACTTTATAGTGAAAAAACAATCTCATAGTCTTTAAATCAATCCAAGTCTTTGCCAGTTAAATCAATCCAGTGATACAAAAATCTTCTTACCACACAAACAGTAGTTGGTTAGATTAACAAACTCACTCTGGTTCACAAACCACGATGGTAGCAGATCCATCCAACGATGATAGCACAATGATAGCAACTCCTCACACTATGGTAGCATATCATCAACTGAATATGTTACAGTACCTTTCTTAAATACGTTTACAACCAGTGATTATCTAATACAGCATGACTCAGCATTACAATGAATCAGCAGTAAAACTTTAAAGTCACACAATACATATTCATATTAAAGTCACAGAACACATATATTGCCTGGACAATTTGTTAGGCTCAAACCATATCCTAACATGTGCTGTATCAGTTTATGCCTGGCTATTTGAGAATTGTTCCCATTTTATACTCTAAATCTGCTGTCTTTGAAAATGTTTAAGAAATCAGTTAAACGCTTCTATGTTGTAACCTTCCACATCTTGGATTTTGATATCATACTATAAAGTTAAAAATCCTCATCATCCAAACACAAATTACAAATGTGCAAGGAACCAGATGCTTTCTTTTAGGAGGCACTGATGATAATTGTCTGATTTTATGAACAAACTCATAAGACCATAAAAATAGTTTTTTTTTAATTCAACCAAATGTAAATCTATTGTAGGATCCTTTTTCTTACATATTTCAATCACAAGTGGGGCTTGAACTCAGATAGCTGCTACTGTTGCTCTACAACAACCTACATACTGCTTTTGAATGCTCAAAATAGCACATTGATACTTTGAGCGGTAGGTTTTAGTGGTTCTCCCATCAATTTGTCTGATCCTCATTTAAAGCAAACTAAGCTAACTGCCATCACTACAGCAAAGTCTGTAACTTAACCACATACTTTCAGAAGAAAAAAATACACTTCATTCTGCCTGTCATAAATTGCTGTTTAATACATGATCCTTTCTAGAATTTGTGAGATAGGAAAATATATCTTTATCCAAACCTTACATGATTATGTACAATTCTCACATATTTTGCCCTCTGCCTTTATTTAATTTAAAAAAGCCCACAAATGTTGCAACTTTATATTGCCTCAAAAATGGTCCAGTCTCTCAATCATTTACATAATGTCTGGGTTTTTTTTTTAAAAAAAAACAATTATTGTTTTCAGTTAGTGGGTTCTTCTACATTAGTATTCTTAGTGTGGCAATACTTAGATTTGAATAAAGGCAAGATAGTATTTATTTTTAAATTCTAGTATATGAGTTTGTCTTTTTTATGTCTACCTAATTCTAGCAATATTAATTTACTAACCAAAATAGCATTCATGAAATAGTAATGTCTTCCATATAGGCTTTCATTGCTGTAAGAGTAATCTTTCTATCCAATTCTGATTAGATATATAAGAGATCAAGGCAGGGGTGAAATCCAGCAGGTTCTGGAGAACTGGTAGTGGAATTTTTGAGCAGTTTGGAGAACTGGTAGCAGAAATTTTGAGTAGTTTGGAGAACCGGCAAATACCACCTCTGCTGGCTCCAGAGTGGGGTGGGAATGGAGATTTTGCAATATCTTTTCCCCAGGAATGGGGAGGGAATGGGGATTTTGCAATATCCTTCCCCTGGAGTGGGGTGGGAATGGAGATTTTACAGTATCCTTCCTCATGCCCACCAAGCCATGCCCACCAAGCCATACTACGGCCACCAAGCCACGCCCACAGAACCAGTAATAAAAAAAATTGGATTTCACCACTGGATCAAGGCTGTTACTAGGATAGTTAAGCCAGAGAAAGAAAGAAAGAAAGAAAGAAAGAAAGAAAGAAAGAAAGAAAGAGAGGGAGGGAGGGAGGGAGGGAGGGAGGAATTCTAGTACTGGTGATTAGAGCAATACATCTATTTCTTGTTTGACCTTTATAACTAATAATTGAATAATAATTTTACTGGAAATATTTATATCTGATCCATTTGTTTCAATAGGCTATTTTTGAAATTCAGAGAACAGATTGTATTGGTAATGGTCTCATAATAATGGAACTATTTTTCTAGAGAAGTATATATGATCTCTAATTTGCAAGTTTTATAGGCCTAAAAGATATCTTATTACAATATGCCTTTATTAATGTTTGATTAACACTGACTAATTCGATATTACTCAGTGAGTTTCTATGTTTTCTTGAAGGTAGAGTTCAACCATTACAGAATCTGATCTACCTAGGTGTAACATTTTTACCACTACAACTCGCATGTACCTAGGACTAACTGCATCTTGGACTACATCTGCTTTTTTTTCTTATTTGCTCTACAGAGTGTTTTATTTTGTTATATCACAATGCCATGAATTCAGAAGTAATTAGTTCTAGCAACTCCTGTTCATTGCCATTGGTTTGAAGGTTATGGTGTTTTAATTCAAACCATGTGCCCCTTTGCTTCCTTTTTCTTCCTTTCATTTTTCTTCACACATCGAAAAAAAAATTGTCGCTGCTCCTAGAATGCTTAATATGTTTGTGTGCACATTGATTCTCTTAGCAAGGATCCTGCTTTTAACCTTGTTGTTTACAATAATGTGCACAGCATGCTGAGTAATGTTGCATACTTTAACTTGCCATGATAACATTTGTGGGACATGCCTTTAACTGTTCTCATGCCCTTGAATTCACCCTTCTTATAAATGTGCATGTAGGTAGAAAAAGAGACACCATGTTTACAAAAGGATCTTGAGAACATGTCCCTTTTTTCTTTCCCTTTGTGTTTGTCATCTTCTACTTTAAAATGATAGTGACATGTAATATATTAAGTCTTATGTTTTTGTTCTTCATCAGTTACTTCTGCAACCAGTGAACAAAAGAAGTGCAGAGTAAAATTGCTCTATATCTTGATTTCCTAGGTCTAATTTATATATACTACAACTGCATGGTGTACCATGACTACCAAGTTCAATGGAATATTATCCTTTGATGTGGCTGGGACAACTGAAAATAAAATAAAGAAGACATCAGTTCAAGAGCTTTTATTTGTTCATTCCCTTTGGTAGTTGTAACCATCACAATAAAAGAAAATGCCATATCTGAGTGAGTATAGGATTCTATTCCACCTTTCCCAAGGGTCTATCAAATTACCATACCATACCATACCATACCCCATACCATACCATCTCTAGTGCAATAGAGGTAAAATCCTGCAAAATGAACTATGAATTTTGTCACTTAGTATATAGGTTACAGTGAAGATATTATACTTTCCTTTGAAGCAGAAAGTCACATGCATTGTACATGATCATTATTTAAATTAACAATTTATCAAATTCGGCTAATTATACTGGAAGTTAAATCATGCGTCTTGTGATTGGAATTAAAGAAACCATTCTATAAGATATCTTTTAATAGGAGATAGATGCTTCAGGACATTTGTTTCTCTTAATTAGGCTCTGCACAATTTGCTGGCTGAGAGGAGAAAAAGAAAATTGGCTATAAAAAAATTGAATGTCCTTTAATTATTGTTTTAACTTTCCAGTACTTTGAATCTAAAGATGTATGTAATGATTATAAGCCAGTCATTCGTTTTATATTTACTGGCTGAAACTCACCTTATTTTAACTCATTCTGCAAAACTAAAAACACGTCTTAAAATTAAAACAATGGAAACTTATATAATGTAACATGGATTTAGGCCATAATCAAGCAGAGGTAAGATTTTTTTTATCCAAAGTACCCAAGTTAGAATTAAGAAAGAAGGCAAGAGAGTAAAAACAATCAGTTGGCTTAGCCTCTGGGAGCACCCCACCATTAGAAGAAAAAACTTTTGATGATTACCTCTGATTACACTATTTGAAAATTTACTAGTTCGAGAACATTAAATCACAAATGAGAGCAAAAGGAAGTAACAACTGGTAATGTCTCTCTTCTGCTTTCTGCCCATGAGATTCCTTCACTGATCCAAAATCTTTTAAAGAAGAACTCTTCCATTTAGGGAAGACATAATATGTTTATGGTCCTAAGGCTACCAAAAGGCCTTGAGGACCACCAAAACAGTGGGCAAGTGCAGAAAGATTTACTTGTGAATGCGCAAGATTTAGGTTGTATGCGCGAAACCATTCCACTCCCCATCGCCAAAATTGCCAAAGCTGCTGCCGCCAGTCTGCAAAACCAAACGTTGGGGATCCCTTCTTTAAGCTATAAATGCATATTTATCAAGCATATCTGGCTTCAGACAACATATTAAACCAATCCAAACGAACTATTGTACAGCTTAGCACAAAGGTTTTCAATTTTTTCAGGCTTTGAAACATTTTTGATTTTTAAAAATTCCTGAAACCCATGGTGTCTGCACACAGAGACTGATGAGCTGCAATTAACAAAAATGTTTCCTCGGGTGATGAGGCGTCTGAACTTCCCATTCAGCTGCACCTTAGGAACATAATATTTTGCCTCCACTCCCACCTGTTTAGTCTTTCACAGAACCCGGGAGAATGTAGTTTGAAAACTATTGGCTTAATACATTTGGCAATTCCGACAAATTCTGAAACCACTATAAAATTCTGTTGCCAGAGATGTATCTGGTAGGGGAGCCATTCAAATGGCATCGTTCTATATTATATAACTATAGCATCGTTCATTAATATTAGCATGTGATCCATGGTATCTAGTCAAAAAAATATTGGGAGGGATGTCTGGAAACAGAAAGCTTTCCTCCATCTTATTTTTTACAGAACTTAGAATGTGTAGATGTATGTTTTAAATCTAACCTAGAGTTTTTGACAAGAAAATAGTATCTAGCTACCCATTACTTTGTAAGTAATGTAAGAAGTTGTTTTAAGTATTTTTATGCAATGTGATTAAAGGTTTCCTTTCACCTTATTCCTTGATTTAATTTAGTACTTCCCAAATATTTTCCTTCATTCCCCCAAATAGCTTATTAGGAAGTTCTTTTTATCCAAAGTGGGTAAAACATTTTAAGTAGTCAATTTAAATGTCTGCTATGATTGGGTATTGGGTTTGTGCTTTGTTACCCAAAGAAAAACCATTTTTACCCAATCCTGTAATAATATTGAATGAGCCTGTAATACAGTGGACTAAAGCACTGTTATTAACATCTACTGCTTGCAATTACTGCAAGTTCAAATCTCACCAGGCTCAAGGTTGACTCAGCCTTCTATCCTTTCAAAGGTAGGTGAAATGAGGACCCAGATTGTGGGGGCAATAAACTGACTTTGTATAAATATACAAAAGTATGAAGGCTATTGCTTAATGCATTGTAAGCTACCCTGAGTCTCCGGAGAAGGGCGGCATATAAATTAAAGCACAAAAAAAAAAAAAAAACCTAAAGATTGAGACTCTTAGAAATAAAAAGATAGAATATAAAGTTGGTTTATTTGATCAAGGTTAAAATAATATATGTTGTTACTTTTGGCAACCCATAATGGAGTTTTTGCTCCATTTAATGGAGTTTCAGACACCAGAATTGAAAAGATGACGTGAGACTAGCATGGATGACGTTACCTTGTTTGGGTAATGAAATGTCTGCAAAAAAACAAGCAAGCTCAGATAGCACGAAGACCCTGTCAATCCTGAGCTACAAATATTATCTTTTATTAATGAAAATATGATGTTTTATGGATTTGTTTATAGATAGGAGATGGACTATGGGATGAAAATATAATTGTTTGTAACTTAGAAGGAGTGAAGAGTCACTTCTTAATATATTTATTATATTCTTGCTTTATTCTTTTCCTTTATTTTTTGTTCATTTTACCCTTTTTACTTCTTTCTCTTTTCTTTCTCTTTTTTTCTTTTCTTTATGTTTAGTTTGTATTAGATTTTATTTATTTTTAATCATTGAATTTATAGGCCCTCCACATTTTATTATTTTTTATTATTAAAGTTTTTACTATTCTAATAAACATTCTTAATCTGTGTGGCTAACTTTAAGCAAACAATTATATACAAATTATAAACATGACATATTTAGTAAAATTCCAACATCCTCAGCTTCATACTTGCTAACAACCTGGATTATTTCTTGGCAACACAATGGAACTTCAGAGATGTTTCCGCTTCCTATTCTAGTGTATAGTCCTGGGATTTCCTGATCATCCTCAGCCAAGTCTTAATCAGATTTGGTCTTGCCCAGATTTTTTTAAGATCTTAGATCTTGTTCATATGCTATGCCATTCTTTTTGAATCTCATGAGCAGATCAAATGAAGCAGAGGCTGTAGCTATAAAGGAAAAATAGGAAAGAAAGCAACAACAACAACATCAACAGCTATTAACCTCAATTTTAAGTTTGGACATATTACATCAGTGCTGCTGCTTGTTATACATAAAAGAATTATAGGCAAGGTTGATTCACGGTACAGACTGATTGATTACAATTTTCAGTGACATCTACTTCAAGTATCAGATGTATTTCAACTGCATAAATTGAAATAGAACAGGAAAACCTTCTAGAATCAAAGAGCAGCATCAATCACTCAATATTCAGAACATTATGGGTTTAGTTGGCTTGCTGTACCTCAATAATGAGAAAATGAACTTAACCTTCCTCAAAAGACATTTCAGGAACTTGAATGCTGCTGCATGGAAGCCCTACCTGAATCTCACGAAGGGGACATCTGGGTCTTCATTTTACTGACCTTGGAAGGCTGAGTCAACCTTTAGCCGGTGAGACTCAAACTGCCAAACTGCTGCAGATGGCAGTCAGCAGAAGTAGCCAAAGGTCACGAAGGAGACCTTTGGTGATGAATTCATATTAAGGGAAGAACAGAGGTTGTCTCTAAATGCCATTCAGTTTTGAAATGAAGAGAAATCCAGGTCTGGTGTTAAGTGATCCAAACCTTACTCACTCTGAGCCTTTTCAAAATGTTGAGAGGCCCAGGAACAGAATGTTCATTTAAGCATACTCTCCCATCCCACATTTTTCATGCTTTATCTTGCATCTTTGTAATGCTTTCCCCAAAGAACTACGGGTCTGTGCTAAGGCTGCAGCTCTGAAATAACTTTCAGCATGGTGTAGTGCTAAGTTTTGATTCATGTTTCTTAAATAAAAAAGATGTGGTTTCCCCTCCTTCATGTATGTGCTTCCCATTTTTCACTGTTTTAAAATATCCCTCGTCTCTAAACCTTATGTCATCTAAAAGTGTTCATTAAAGTTTACTAAAATCTCTCTCATATATATATAATTCCTTCAAACTGCAAATCAAATAAAACTTTATCCTTAAGCATCATTTTCTGTTATATTAAAATTCTGATAATGAATGAAATGATTCCCGAACATAAGAAATGATTACCTGTATTTTGGATTACCATCCGAATGCGTGGTATTCATGAGTTTGTGTGAAACAATAAATTATATGGTAAAAAAAAAAGAAAAAGAATTGGTATGTTTATACTTTCTATCATATATTCTGACTGAAAAGTCTTGGCTTGCAATAAAATAAACTCTGACTACACTTGTCTCTAATTTCTTTGGGTTGCACTATTCTTGTAGTATTTCTATGAAATATAAGTATTACATTTAATTCACATAAAACAATACATATTTTTGTATTATATTTTGCAAAATAGAAAATGACCATGTCATGCTTACATATGCTTATCATTTATTTCTACATTTCACCCAGATCTTTGCATGCAATTTGCAATGTCTCAGCAGATTTTAAACAAGTAATTCAGTCATCAGTAATCTTGCAAGCTTTCCTTGTTTACAGATTTTGTGTTATAAAGACTTGTTTTCCACTCTTGCCTCAATTCTTTGGCCCATGATTGTGCAATATTTGCCAGCAGTGAATGAGCCAACTCCACAGATGGCTCTTTTGGTGCCAAGTACTTTGGTATATATTTGCCAATACATATCTAGAAGGCTACATAAATTGGACCTAATCCAAAGAAAAACTGGTGCATTTTCTAGTTACTGGAATCTTCAGCACACCTTATTTCACATTCTTCCTCTTCCATCTATTTTCTTAACTTTTTGAGAAGCATGAAATATTTAATAAAAAGTACTTACTGTTATTAATAAGAGATCTGCTGAATCATATCAAGATTCATCTTGTGTAGCTTTATATT